CAACGTTGTGTCTAGATCTTATCAGCCTTAATTGGCCTTGAAAATTCAATGCGTGGAGAATCAACTTCCAAAATTCTGTGAGTTGAAGTCCACACCTCTTAAAAGTCATCAAGGCTGAGAAACGCTACTCGATAACATTGCAGCTGCGTGATACAATAAGCCCCATCATCCCCAGCCAACATGGTGGACTTGAATGGGAGATTCAAGGTTGTGGGGTAAACTGGGGAGATTAAATGTTGGAACAATTGAATAATTGAAGGGTAGAATGATCAGGTTGTCCTTTTGAATTCTTCCTGAATTGATCAAGGAGTTGTTGACCAGATCTATTGAGCTACCATAGATCTATACAGATCTATTGGATTACAACAACATGTCAGCCTCTTATCGGCCTTAACTGGTCTTCAACAGGATTAAGACTTAATTGAGAGACTCAAAGTTGTGGGCCAAACTGGGAAGATGAAAAGATGTTTCTGATTTAAAGCATCTACCATACCTTTCAAAACTCAAACCATAGCTTTCCCAATGAAAAATAGCTCATTGTTTTAAGCTTTGGGGATCATCTCCTATCCTAAAAAAGATACTCTACACATCCTTCCTCTACAACAGAAGAAGATGATGGGTGAGGTGTCCACCATGTTGGCTGGGAACGATGGAGCCTGTGAGGTCATGCAGCTGCAAAGACCTTGAGTTGGGTTTTCCAACCTTGGTGACATGAAGATGTGAGGAGGTCAGATTCCAGAATTCTGTGAGTTGAAGTCCACACATCTTCAAGTCATCAAGGCTGAGAAACCCTACTCAACAGCTGCATGATGCAACAAACCCCATCATGTCCATCCAACATGGCGGACAACTCACCCATCACCTTCTTGCCAAGCTGAGGCGAGCGAGAACCAGAAGTGGCCTTTGAAGTGGCCTCTTCTAAGCTGAACATTTTGTGGAATAGTGTTCTCTCTCTCTCTCTCTGTCTTTCTCTCTGTGTGTCTCTCTCCCTCTCTCTCCCCCTCCCCCTCTCTCTGTGTCTCTGTCTTTCTCTCTGTGTCTCTCTTTTTCTCTGTGTCTCTTTGTCTCTGTTTCTCTGTCTCTCTCTGTCTCTGTCTATCTGTCTCTCTCTCACTCTCGGTCTCTCTCTTTCTCTCACTCTGTCTCTCTGTCTCTGTTTCTCTGTCTGTCTGTCTTTCTCTCTGTGTCTCTATCTCTGTGTCTCTGTCTCTCTCTCTTTCTCTCTCTCTCTTTCTCTGTCTCTCTCTGTCTCTCTGTCTCTCTCATTGCTAACCACCTTGGTGTGGCCGAACGGACCAGTTATACAATTTCCCTTGCTCATTTTGTCATTCAGATCATTTTGAACTCCATGCACAGATACCAGCCCCGTTTCCACGTAGTTTACGTGGACCCACGGAAAGACAGTGAGAAGTACGCGGAGGAGAACTTTAAGACTTTTGTCTTTGAGGAGACCCGATTCACCGCCGTCACAGCCTACCAAAACCATCGGGTGAGTATCTGGAATTCATTAAGGAGACTGCAGGCTTTCCAAGACGTCATTTATCAACCGATCGCCCACCGCAATCCCACCCCCCGCCTTAAAAAGGCACCTTCCCCTGTCCAGCACACAACTCCATCGAGTGACATGATGGATGAAGAGCCGGAAAAGAGAAAAGGTTGGAGATTGTTGGGTGCAGTCAATCAACCAAATTTTTCTTGTTTTGGTAGGGGAAAAAAAAAATTGGTGCAAAGCTCTTAAAGGCAACACGTTCCTGTTTAAATCATCTCCGATACGAGGGGCTGGATGGAAGAATTAAGTCAGTTTGCAAGGGAAACCTTGCAAATTCAAATTGGGCTCCAGTTTTAGCAGCTCTAGGGGACACGGTGGCTCAGCGGCTAAGACACTGAGCTTGTCAATCAGAAAGGTTGGCAGTTTGGCGGTTCAAATCCCTAGCACCACATAACGGAGTGAGCTCCCGTTCTTTGTCCCAGCTTCTGCCAACCTAGCAGTTCGAAAGCATGTAAAAAAAAATGCAAATAGAAAAATAGGGACCACTTTGGTGGGAAGGTAACAGCGTTCCATGTTCCTTCGGCATTTAGTCATTCCAGCCACATGACCACGGAGACGTCTTCTGATGAACGCTTGCAGGAACCGGGCCTGGCTAGTCTAGTGAAGAGAAGGACCAGGGGAGACAGGATAGCAGTCTTCCAATATTTGAGGGGTTGCCCCAGAGAGGAGGAAGGGGGTCAAGCTATTCTCCAAAGCAACTGAAGGCCAGACAAGGAACAATGGATGGAAACTGATCCAGGAGAGATTCAACCTGGAAATAAGGAGAGATTTTTTGATAGTGAGAGCAATCAACAGAATTTGCCTTCAGAAGTTGTGAGAACTTCATCACTGGAGGCTTTCAAGAAGAGAGTGGACTGCTATCTGTCAGAAATGGTGTAGGGTCTCCTGCTTGGTGGGTGGGGGGTTGGACGAGATGACCAACAAGGTCCCTTCCAATTCTGTCAATCTATAATCTAAGTCCTCCACATAACACTGACACATCAAACTCTGAATAGCCCCAGAGGGATGGGGTTGATCACGACAGGTTCCAGAAGTTTCAATTTGGTAACATCTGGAACATTAGCGGTTCTTGTCCTCACTGTTATATGGGACTCTTATGCAGCTGGTGACCCAGAAACCAGATGCGTGCATGAAGTATTGTTCTTATCAGTTTCCCATGCATGCAATTACGGTGCCCTAATGGAGCAGAAATTGTGTGAATTTGCAGCAAGGGATAAAAATGCCGCATCTTCACTGCATCTGTTTATACATCTGGGAGATCTCCATGCCCAGAATGTGCCCAGGGAGCCTGGAAGCCCTTTGATCGCCAAGCTCCATGGATTATGGATTGCTTGTGTCTAATGTGACCTCCATATTCTCGGTGCCAGAAGACTACATGGGAAATGCGTCTCTACGGAGAAGAACCCATGAAATTGGTAAAGCCCAACTCCGAAGCAACTTGGAATGCTCCAAATCAATTAGAAATAGGGGGTGGGGGGGGAGGCTTCTTTTGTAGTAAAAAATAAGTATCTTGGGAGGCTTTGGAGATGTTGCCCTTCTCTGCAGTCAAGAGTTGAAGCCAAGTAGGGTACACATAGGCCTCAACATCGGTTAGCGATGATTCAAAAATACAAACGGCGCCGGGAAAAAATGCGACCTAGGACCGTTCTGCACACTTACAACCATTGGCACATCCCCATGAAGTTGCGCGATCAAAATTCGGCCGCTTGGCACCTGGCCTCATATTTAGGACGGTTGCAATGTCCCGGAGTCCCGTGATCCGCTTTTGCGACCTTTTGACAAAATCAAAAATCTACGGGGAAGCCCAATCCACTTCAAACTCAGATAGCCTGGTGTGAAGAAGGCCAGTTTCTGAACCAATGCCCCTCAACCTTGGTGACATTAAGAGATATGGACTTCAAATCCCAGAATTCCCCAGCAAGCAGGGGGAAGTTTTCCCAGCCAGAGTTTCCTACCAGCTGGGGAATTCTGGGAATTGAAGTCCACACATTTTGAAGCAGGCTGACTGGGGAATTCTGGGAGTTGAAGCCCATATATCTTAAAGCTTGCTGGATTATGAATTCTGGGAGTCGAAGTCCATTTATCAAAGCATGCTGGATTAAAAATTCTGAGAGTTGAAGTCCATCTATTTTAAAGCTTGCTGATTAAGAATTCTGGAGTTGAAACCCATATATTTTAAAGCACGCTGGATTAAGAATTCTGGGAGTTGAAGCCCATATATTTTAAATCTTGCTGGATTAAGAATTTTGGGAGTTGAAGCCCATATATCTTAAAGGTTGCTAGATTAAGAATTCTGAGAGTTGAAGTCCATATATTTTAAAGCATGCTGGATTAAGATTTTCGGGAATTGAGATTCATATATCTTAAATCTTGCTGAGTTAAGAATTCTGGGAGTTGAAGCCCATATATCTTAAAGCAATCTGGCTGGGAAACTCTGGGAGTTAAAGTCTACCCATCTGAGGAATTCTGAGAGTTGAATTCCACACATCTTAACATCGCCAAGATTGAAGAACCACGTTCACAACTCCGAAAGTCCCTTCTGGGAGGCTTATCGAGGAGACTCACTCTTTTCTGCACAGCTATTCCGCAGCTAAATAACGTACATTTTTGCATCTCCACCAAGTCCTGCAGACTGTCTGAAGAGCTATCTGCCTTCTCTGCTTTTCCTTAAGCATTTCATCTGCTAAATCCCTTGATGGCTTTCTGAAGGAATTTGATCACCCTGGGAGGCCTGAATGTGGAGAAGCAGAGATCTCCACTTTCCCTGCTCCCCCGCCCCCAAAATTGGCAAAACAGCACGACTTGGGTTAAACTGATCTTCCTGTATTATTGGCAGCTCCCATTCCTCACCAAAGCAATTCACACACCCCAAAGGGGGAAAAACAGCGTTGGGTAATGTTAGGTCCCCATATTTTTGCATTTCTTTGGAGAAGACTGGTCTGTGTGAGAATAATATTGAAAAGTTCACTTCCATTTCTGAAAAGTGCACCAGAATATTTCGCTTTGGTGGTGCATGCATATAATAGAGGGGTGTTATATATTCTTCTTTATTTTATTTTATCTGTATCCCGCCTTTATTAGTTTTACAAGTAATTCAAAGTAGTGAGCGTATTCAACACACACCTTCCTCCTCCTAATTTCGCCACTCCCACAACAGCTTTGTGATGTGCATTGGACTGGCCCAAAGTCACCCAGCTGGCTTTCAGGTCTAAGGCAGGACTAGAATTCACTGTCTCCTGGTTTCTAGGCTGATGCTTCAACCTGCCTCTCCAAGATGCAAAAGTTTTCACAAAGGTCACATTTTGTATTCATTCAATTGCAATGCGGCTGAAAAGATATCCAATCAAATTGGTCAGCTGGAATCTTCCATTTCCTAAAGGTCTACGGAATCAAAGATCCTTTTGAATTTTTTCCTCTTATAAGGAACATAGTATGCCCCCCACCCGCCCCCAAATTAGTCTTGCGTGTAAAAATCCTCCCAGGAGGTGGCAGCACTGAAATGACTTTCCAGTGGGTTTTTCAAAAGGAGGGAGGTATTAGGATGAGAGACCACCAGAAAATCCCAGCGCTGTCCATTAGGGTGGAAGTGCAAAAATCCACCAAGAACATTACACAGAAGAAATGGAAAAGAAATCTTGGGTGTTGTGCTTGATTTGGAAGATGCCAGGGGGAGAGGTATAGTGGGCAAACTTGTTCAGAAGTGCCCCATTTCGGGAGGGGGGGGGATTGACACTGATCTCACTCTTCCTCTTGATGGACCGCAAATCTCTTGCTTCGAGGGGAGCGCGCTCTCCTTGAATCTGATTTTCAGAAGTGCCTGCTTTCCCACCCGTCCAATGTACCATTTCCAAGGGAAGGAAGATGTGCCTTTTCCTGCTAAATATAAGAAAAATGGTAACCGTGTTATTTGAGAAGGAGGAGGAGGAGGAAGAGGAGAATGAGATGTTTTCAGAATAATGGAGAAGAGGAGGAGGAGGAGGAAAGGAAAAGGAGGAGAAGGAAAAGGAGGAGGAGGAAAAGTTTTCGGTATAATGGAGGAAGAGGAGGAAGAGGAGGAGAAGGAAAAGAAGGAAAAGGAAGAGAAGGAGGAGATTTCAGAATAATGGAGGAAGAGGAGGAGGAAGAGGAGAAGGAAGAGGAGGAGGAGAAGGAAAGGATTTTGGTATAATGGAGGAAGAGGAGGAGAAGGAAAAGGAGAAGGAAAAGGAAGAGATTTCAGAATAATGGAGGAAGAGGAGAAGGAAAAGGAAGAGAAGGAGGAGAAGATTTCAGAATAATGGAGGGAGGAGGGGGAGGGGGAGAAGGAGGAGGAAGACAAGGAGGAGATATTTTCATATTAATGGAGAACGAGGAAGGGAAGGATATTTTTTCATAAAGGAGAAGTTAGTATTGCAACAATGAAGGAGGTGGAAGAGAAGATTTTATTCCATAATAGGAGGAGGAAGAGGAGGAGGAGGAGGAGAGAAGGAGCAGTGATGGAGCCCAAGGAAAAAGGGGGACCATAGAGCCACCAAGGCTGGAGGGAAGCTGTGCCTTTAAGAAGACTTTTCCAGGCTGGCATCTCTGTGATCGCTTCGAACAGCTGCTTATTTTCTCTTCTGCTTTCTATCACTTTGACCTCGAACGGCTGAACTGTCACCGAGGGGCTTAAAGTTTGTTTTTCAACCCATTCCGGAAACTCACAATCATTATACTTTGTCCCTGGATTTGTTTAAATATAAAGGGGTTATAAAGAAGTGGGAGGAGGTTCCTCCCTCCTTCGCTCTTCCCCCACCTCCCTGTGAATGAAATAAATACTCTGCAGTGACGGTCTGGGGGAGAATAGGACGGGGATTTGTTGCAGAGATAATATGTGCTTTTCAAAACAATCATATGTGCTTTTCAAATCTGAAGCTTCAAAGATGCCTGTCCTGGTGCTGAGAATCAGATTTAAAAGACTGATAGCAATAGCCCTTAGACTTATATACCGCTTCCCAGCGCTTTTACAGCCCTCTCTAAGCTGTTTACAGAGTCAGCCTCTTGCCCCCAACAATCTGGGTCCTCATTTTACCCACCTCACAAGGATGTGGAACGCTGAATCAATAGCAACAGCAATCGCATTTAGACTTATATGCTACTTCATAGTGCTTTACAGCCCTTTCTAAGCGGTTTACAGAGTTTTACGAGGTTAACAAGCGACACAATTTAAAGTTGAGAAACTTGAGAGGACAATCCATAGGGCGGACATTCAAAAGCAGCAAAGTTTAACGTGGGAATTTTAAAAAGAGCTACATGTAAATAGAGGTAGCCTCTGCCTTACAGTCATTTGTTTCGTGACCGTTCAAAGTTACAATGTCACTGAAAAAAAAAGTGAATCGGGACCATTTTTCACACTTACGGCCATTGCAGCCGCCCCGTGGTCACATGGTCAAAATCCAGGCCCTTGGCAACTGACTCCTATTTATGACTGTTGCAATGCCCCAGGGTCATGTCATCTCCTTTTCCACCCTTCTGACAGGCAAAGTCAATGGGGGAAGATTCACTTAACAACTGGGTTACAAACTTATCAACTGCAGTGATTCACTTAACAACGGGGGCAAGGAGATTGTATAAAATGACTCTTAAGCCATGTCTCTAATTCTCTCCTACAGATAACCCAGCTTAAGATCGCCAGTAATCCATTTGCAAAAGGTTTCCGGGATTGCGACCCTGAAGATTGGTAAGCCTGTTTAATTTGTTCTTCTCTTCTACAGTGTTCAATAGAATACAGATCGATAGAGCTGGAAGAGACCTTGGAGGTCTTCTAGTCCAACCCCTGCTCCAGCAGGACACCCTATACCGTTTCAGACAAACAGCTGTCCAATTTCTTCTTAAAAAGTTCCAGTGATGGACAAGGGAGGGAGGGAGGGAGGGAGGGAGGGAGGGAGGAAGGAAGGAAGGAAGGAAGGAAGGAAGGAAGGAAGGAAGGAAGG